AGCAGCAGCAGCAGCAAGAGCGCAATGGGGGAGGGAGGGAGGACCCAGGAGCAGGAGAGCACTAGCAGCGCGACCCGAGCGATCATGTCTCTTCCCTCCTCCCCTCATGCGACCCCAGGCTAACCCAGCGAGGAAGAAGAAGAAGAAGACCTCCCTCCCTCTTGCTCAGAGCACTGAAGCTCTCTGCAACTTTGGCCATGTATGGAGGAGACAGCGCGCAGTGCTGGCCACTGACAAACTCAGAATTCGCCCTTCTTTTTCTGCTGCAGAGATTCACTTTGCTTTTTCATTTAATTTCATCTTTTGAGCACTCTGTTTTCTCGTGCTTTCGTTTGTGTTTGTTTTTTGGGCCCTTTCTCGTCGCTATGATGAGCGCGGGAGGCGTGAACTGGCTACGTCATCATCTCCCTCTTTCGATTTCGTCTCCTTCTTCTTCCCTCTTCTTCTTTTATCCTTTCCACCCTCTCTCTGCGCAGAAAAAAACACTTCATTTGCTTGGCTGGCTTTCGCTTTTTCCCCTCTCCTTCTTCAATAATGCTCCTGCAAATTTTTTGCAGAATTCTTTTCTACGCAGAGATATGCAGTCGATGGGGGCAGGAGCCCCCCCGTGAAAGCCTGTATGCCATCATGCCAAAACAAAAGAAAAAGACATATTTTGAATTTTTTTAGAACTATACACGTTAGTTAAAGTAAGTATGATTTAAGGTTTGGTTTATTTCGAGGAAAATATTTTTCGAGAGAACTTTTTTCGAAATTTCCGGTGTTTGGGGCGTGGAAAATGAGCGGTCAAAGTTTAGATTACGTATGATTTGAATGTTGAGCTTAATTTGAATTCCACTTGTTATAGATAAGAAGTTAATGAAACTCTTGTAATGTTCAATGTTGAGATGCCATGTTGGGACCATGTGCGAGTACTAAATAGTGCTCGATCGAGTTGAAGCCAAATATAGCTTACGAATTATCGGTCTAAGGTAGCCGTGCTTTAACCATTTCAAAAAAAGTAAAACGAAGAAGGTGATGCTGCAATTAGAGAAATATAGTCACAAATTATTCCTTTAATATGATAATTAATTCGTTCTAAAAATTCAAAGAAAGGGCACAAGTGAAATAAAAACTTAAAGAAAAATGACACAAATGGTCCATAAATTTTAGTATATGTGCAATATCGTTCATAAAATTTTAATTACTTTAATGTGGTCCATGAATTTTGGCCTAATATGCAATGCCGGCTCTAAATTTTTAATTTGTTCAATATGGTCCATGAACTTTTGATACATGTTCAATTTGGTTGTTTTAGTCAAGATGGGCTAAAGTTCAAAGACCCAACGAATTAAAAGTTCAAGAACGACGTTAAAAATTAAGTTAAAATTCATGAACCGTTTGTCTGATTATGCCAAAAGTTTATTACCCTTGCACAAACAGAAGTTGTCATAATTACGTATGGTTTGAATGTTGAGCTTAATTTGAATTCCACTTGTTATAGATAAGAAGTTAATGAAACTCTTGTAATGTTCAATGTTGAGTATAATTTGAATTCCACAGGTTATAAATAAGAAGTTAAAAGGCAGGGGTGTACAAATCAACATTCTACTTTGAAAATGATTACAAATTCTAAAACCTATAGTATTCGAAAACAATATAATGACTTAATTGTTAACTCTTTACGTGATAAGTTGTGATTGACTGTTGCAAAGTCTAGATTACGTATGTATGTATCAGATTACATGCACACGACCGATGGACTTATAAAAGAGATGCCATGTTGGGACCATGTGCGAGTACTAAATAGTGCTCGATCGAGTTGAAGCCAAATATAGCTTACGAATTATCGGTCTAAGGTAGCCGTGCTTTAACCATTTCAAAAAAAATTAAAATGAAGAAGGTGATGCGGTAATTAGAGAAATATAGTCACACATTATTCCTTTAATATGGTAATTAATTCGTTCTAAAAATTCAAAGAAAGGGCACAAGTGAAATAAAAACTTAAAGAAAAATGACACAAATGGTCCCTAAATATTAGTATAACGTGCAATATTGTTCATAAACTTTTAATTTCTTCAATGTGGTTCATGAATTTTGACCTAATGTGCAATGCCGGCTCTAAATTTTTAATTTGTTCAATATGGTCCATGAACTTTTGATACATGTTCAATCTGGTTGTTTTAGTCAAGATGGGCTAAAGTTCAGGGACCCAACGAATTAAAAGTTCAAGAACGACATTAAAAATTAAGTTAAAATTCATGAACCGTTTGTCTGATTATGCCGAAAGTTTAATACCCTTGCACAAACAGAAGTTGTCATAATTGAAGGACAAAGAACCTGCATCGAGACTGAATACAGAAACAAGTGATTACTGGGCAGTGAACATCTCTGTAGGTGTGCTCATGATGACTTTGGTTCCCTTCCCACACAATTTTAACTCACAACCAAGAAGGAAAATGGTATAGAGTGAAGCATATATAATCCCACATGCCAATTTTAAAGGAGTACTCAGCTCTTGTACTACCTTACGTGTCATTCTTTGTTTTCGTATCGATAAACTGTGATGACTAAAATGATTTACGGTGACTTATATATATTCTCAAAAATGTTGATGAATTTTTTTTACCTTTAAACTAAAAAAAGGTACATATGAGATTATAAACCTTAGACTTTAAAAGCAATCAAGTCCTAAATTTTTTGTCTAAAAGGGGTCCTAACTATTTCAATTTACACATTAAAGTCGTTAGCATTTATTAAAAAAATGCAACCCATTCCTAAATCCATATTGAGAAATACAGATTAAGTTGCCACGTGAGCAACTTCCCAGTATCCCATACACACATTACTCATCGAGAACGAAAAGATTCGGTTGCGCTTTTGGACAATAAGATGAGCTTTGATTGTTTTAATAAAAAAGTTATGGACTCGATTATATTTCCGTGATACCCTTTTCTCTTACTAAGTTAAATGAATGCCAAGGGCACATGATTATCGAGGGGACAAAAAGCTAGGGAAGTTCCACGAATTTCAAAAGCTAGATTGGGGGATGCATTTAATCTCCCTTTGCGACTCCTTAACCTCAATGTTACAACTTGTTCCGTCGTGAGGACAAAAACGCCTGTACAATGTATGTAAGGTCAATTATGTGTGGCTGCATCTTGCAAGAACACTGTTTTCGCCACTGGAGAATGTCTGTACTTTATTCATCACGGTGCGTACATCTTGTTGGGTGCCAAATAAACTATGCCAATCCGACAAAGTAACTCGAGAATTTATTATTTGACCCGTGGATACAAGTTCATTGGGCATCGTGCGGGAAGGGGACCAAAGCCATCATGAGCACCCACCTACGCAGACATTCACTGCCCAGTAATCACTTGTTTCTGTATTCAGTCTCGATGCAGGTTATTTGTCCTTTAATTATGGCAACTTATGGTTGTAAACGGGTAATAAGACTTTCAAATAGTCCTCTCACTTTGGTCATTATAAAATATCGTGATCCTCAAATTTTTAATTTGTTCAATATGATTTATGAACTATAATTCGATGTGCAATGTCATTTTTAAAATTTTAATTTATTTAATGTAAATTTTTATTTAAATTGTGCCTTTTTATTAAATCTAAGTAAATGGGTCTTCATGCTCATATCTTTGAATTTGTTTTTTTGAAAACATCACGCAATTACTTTTTGGCATAGATGATGGAACCACGTGCTACATGTTTGCATTGGTTTGGGTAAGTTGCCTATGACTACGAAATTTATACATCGAGAAGGTTGGGGCTCTCAATGATTACACTGGTCATATTGAGATTTCTAAATTGAGCATGTTCCATTGGAAAAAGTCCATTAGAAAGTCTGACAAGAATTTTTGCAATCTGTTTGTTTGCATTGCAATGACGGCAAGCTCTACGGACGCGTTCCTTATTTTTACGTGCCGGTGCCTACAAGCCCTCCCCCTCATTGGAGAATAGTTTTTCATCCCTCACCTTAGGGAATACCCCCTGAGTTTTACATCCCAAAATTTAGACGAAATAGTTTAGGGATTTGCTTCGGTCCATATGGAAACTATTCCCAAGTCAAATAGAGTTTTTTTGGATATTCGTTATCATCGCCCCTTTAAGTAGTTGTTAACTTTCTGGTAATAAATACATGGATATATATATATTAAAGGAAACACATGAAAACATCTTCATATAACCAGTAGAAGGAAAAGATACCGAGAAAAAAAAATATGGTAACATAATTGTATAATCTCTGCGTATCTCGTAATGATTAGTGCACGAGGTATTTCACGTATCTTAAAAAATGATCATCCGAGGTAGAAAGATAATATAATATCAATCACGATCAATTACGATCAATCAAGGATACACATAATTTGTGGACGTAAATGCACGGTCGCGGGAAGAATCAACTAATTACCTCTAAACGCTTAATGCTCATGCAACAAATATTCCTGTTTTGGATTAGAGATCATGCATAATCGGGGGGCAGTTAAGAGAACATCCAAATTATCCCTAAACACAATTAATGATCCATATGCAATAAATATTCTTGCTTTGGAAATTAATTGGCAGTCAGCCCTAATTTGACGGTACAAATAGTCAACGAGGGGTCTTCTCTTCCGAAGGGCAAGATTGTTTCAGTTTCCATTAATCAAGCTCGCCTGTGAGTCTTTTACATGTTCCTTTCTTTCTTTTTTTTTTTTTTTTGGTAACCGAGGATCCGCCACCATTCCCCGGGGACGAGCCTGCACGAGTAATCGGGGCGCCTATACCTCGGGGGAGACTAGCCCAGCAACCCACCGCCGGGCCCCCCACTTTCATAGTGAATTTTGAGAAAAATAATGTTTTTCTTCTTCTTTTACTTTTTCAATGTCTTCGAAGTTCTATATGCCACTCAATTGAAATGTGTCCGGTACGATAAAGGAAGAGCCCCCCTTTACCATTTCATTCTCATTTTATCTTAACTAATTGACAATTTTTCAATGCTTTTGAGAATAGGTATGTTGAAAAAGATGTCATCAACTTTGACGATCCTCCTTCCGTCGTTACTAGCATTGCTGCACTACCATATCGGAATCACGGAGGCGCAGCTCGACATCGGCGTGAACTACGGAATGGCTGGGGACTCTCTCCCCTCGCCGGCCACGGTGGTCCAACTCTTCAAGAAGTACCGCATCCAAAAAGTGCGACTTTTGGAGCCGAACTCGGACGTGCTCGAGGCGCTTGAGGACAGCGGAATAGACGTCACGCTAGGCATAAAAAACGAAGACTTACCATCCATAGCATCGAATGCCACAGCGGCCGAGAGATGGTTCAACAACCATGTGGAACCCTACATCCCAGTCATCAATTTTCAGTATATTACAGCGGGTAACGAAGTCGTTCCCGGAGATTTGGCTCAATATGTATTACCGGCTATGCAAAATATACAAAATATTATAAATTCGTATGAATATGATGGATTGAGGGTGTCCACGGTTGTTGGGACTGCTACCTTGGGGAGTTTAGACCCACCCTCAAGCGGTGCATTCGCCGATGAAGCTCGAGCCGACATGGTTGGAATCATAAACTTCCTGTCGAACACTAGCTCGCCTTTACTAGTTAATGTGTATCCCTATTTCGCATTTGCCTCGGATCCTAATCACGTGAGATTAGATTACGTTCAATTCACCGCGACCAGTCCATTGGTTCAAGATGGCAAATTGAGCTACTCAAACATGCTAGACGCGATCGTGGATGCTTTCTACTGGGCGATGGAGAAGGAAGGCGTGAGCTACGTGGACGCGGTGGTTTCCGAGAGCGGTTGGCCGTCGGACGGAGGCGGACTCTGGGCCACTCCGCAGCTTGCAAAAACTTACAATCAACATTTTGTGAAGAAGTTTCTTGCCAAGCAAGCAACTCCAAAGAGGCCAGACCGCTACTTGGAAGGATTCATCTACACAATGTTTAATGAGAACCAAAAACCTTCGGGCGTGGATCAACATTGGGGCTTATTCTATCCGGATGGGACGCCGGTTTATCCTCTATTTTCATAGGGTTGATAAAGAGAAGCTGATTGAATCCTTTTCAAGGGAGTCTAGGAGATGAGTAATGAATATGTTTGAATATAAATAAGTATTCATCGCTTCGTTTTAACATTGTCCCTATTCATCTACTTGGATCTAGAGTTTCAATTCAACGAGTTGTTTAGATGGAGTTTTATGCAACAGGAATCGAATAAATTTCAATTTCAAGGATCAATAGGTTGGAAGTTCTAGATCTTATAGACCGATTTCAATTTGGTCATAAACTTTTCAATTGCTTCGCTAAATAGTTCTAGATTTAAATCTTACGTTCTAAATCTAAAGTTTTCGACTGGCGGCCAAGCACTCTCTGGTAATCGCCATAGGCGCATCGCCCACGCCTTCCTTCTCCATTGCCCAATATAATGTGCATGATCGCATTGAGCATGTTCATATAACTCAAGTTGCCATCTTGAAGCAGCAAGAAGTCTCGGTGAATTCAGCGTAACCTAATCTCCCGTTTGTTGGATATGAGGCCTACCCAACTACGGATACACATAAATTAGTGGCAACGAGTCAGTGCTTGGCAAGAAGTTTACGATATCCCACCCACGTTGGCCTAAGCTTCGTCGGACGATGCACCGCTTAAGGTTCTAGCACCACGCCAAATGCATCCGAAGAAAGAAGAGCCATTCGTTTGCCAGAAGCTTGGCAAGAACTCCTGCTGTGCTGGATGCGATGGTCACAACAACCCTTAGAAACGACAAGATCTTGCAAATTAAGTCAATGCAAAAATACCAGAGTTCCTTACCAAAAAAAAATAATAACCTTACCAAAAACAAATACCAGAGAAAATAACGAGCAATAATAAAGGATATCTGAGATTTACGTGGTTCGGTCCGAGTATCGGTACCTGCATCCACTAGGAGAGCCAGTAATAAAGAATTTACTGTAATCGGAGAATCGGAGTCACAATTGACTCATATGCTCGAGTGTTTTTCGTACCTAAATCTAAGCCACAACCCAGACCGTTTACAAATAAACAGCTCAATCGGACGAAATAAACTCACTGCACAAATCACCGTGCACGGCTATCCAAGATCGTCCTCCAAGTTCCGTCTTCGCGGCTCCTTCGCGTGCGATCAGAGAGCGTGGTCGTGCGTGGCCTCTCTATTCGCTGTTCCGCCCTTTTCTACGAGTCCTCGGCGGCTTCAGCAAAGCAGGTAAAGAATAGAAAGAAAAGAAACCCTTCCTCTTTTGTCTCGTTCGGAGACAATGACCCTTTTACCCACTCTCGTTTGTGTGCCCCTTTTACTAGTCCGCGAAATCAACTTAGATCAAATCTTGCATATTTTCGTGATTTTCTTTTTCTTTAACAAACCGATTAATATCCGTAAACGATTCAAATTCGAGACATAAATTCAACGACATTTATAATTTACTTAAATTGGTTGAAGATTTCGCATTGTCGGTAGTACGTAGTGGGCTAAATCTCCGGAGATGACTTCGTTAACGATCGGAAATACGAGGAAGGCCGACGTTGCTCCCGTAGAGGTGCAAATTGGTGCCGAGCTATGTCATGGATGCATCGGCGCTCGATGCTTACGTTTTGCAAGTCGAGATGTTATGTGCGTTCTTCCAGTCTTGTGCTCTTGTAGAGTTGGACAACCGTGACCGGATGAGGGAGATTTTCGCCATGCATTGCCTCGTTCCCGTCGGTGCGGCCTTCGCACAACTGATTTCATAGTGAAGCAATGATAAGATTGATAGAACGAGAATCGTCAAAGCCAAGGAGATCTCTTAGAATTTTTACTACCAATTTCAAAAATAATGAAAATTATCTTTTAATTAGTAATATGAAAGAGGTAACGAGAGAGAGAGGAAGAGATTATTCGCGACAAATTATCGGAAGGACATGGATGAAAAATTGAAATTTTCCGGTCTGATGAATGCCAGAAAATTAATTTGGTCTCTATGGTTACTCGGAAAAGTCCCTACGAGGTCATAACACTTAGTTTGCAAAATGATCCTTCAAGAATGATGATCGGTAACTAGACATGCATCCATTGAGGTGGAGGTTCAAATAGCGAATGCTCTTTGATCCTAATGTTCTTACAAGAATTAGATGGTAATAATTAAATAATTCTATATATATCTTTCCGGATATGGGACAAACAATGAAAGTTTCTCTTTCAATCTGAACTAAATGGCAACAATTAAATAATATTATAAATATATGGTTAATAACACGAAAAATCCCAAACCGGTATGCCTACGATAAATTTACCCAAAACTAATTTTTTTACCACAAAAAATCCAAAACTGATACACCTGTGATAAATTTACCCTCTGTTAGTTTCCGTTAAATTTTACGGTCAAATTACTGATTTGGATGACACATGGCAATTGACGAGTGTATCAATTTGAGATTTTACCCTTTGTTTATCACAGGTGCACTAGTTTGTGATTTTTCGAGGTATTAATCAAATTTAACGAAAACTAACAGAAGGTAAATTTATCGCAAATGTATCAGTTTAGGGTTTTTGAGCGTCAAAAAATTAGTTTGGGGTAAATTTGTCATAAGTGTATTAGTTTGAGATTTTCTGTGATCAAAAAATTAATTTGGGATAAATTTATCGTAGATTTACTAGTTTTTGGTTTTTAATAGTTTTAACTCATATATATGTATATCTACAGGCTACATTGCCTTCACTTTAAAAATCCATGTGTAGTATCATGAAAATCTGAGGCAAAAACTTATTATATGGCAAGGAATATCCAGATACTTCATTTGACTTGGGAAATATTTCTAAGAACCGATTCGAGTCACAACCGTAAAAATTGGGTAAGGTTGATTTTTAGGCTAATAACATTGATCGTTTCCTCTTTCAAGTCCCGTAGCTTCACGCTTATCAAGAAGGTCCTTGAACTCATGTTGATGACATAGATTTAAGTCTTCCGTTGATTCCACATGAGGAACGACACCAATGGATAGCCCGCAATTTCGTAATTTTATTTATTTATTTTATATTTCGAAGCAAATCCTAATTAATAAATTATTTTTTCTTTTAACGTTAAGAAATTCTCGCTTGTAGGGAATAGAAGAAAAAAAATCACCTGTTCCAAGACTGACTCTGAAACTGGACCGAACTGATCAGTCCGGTTTCAGGACCGGGTGAGCCAATTCCCAATTCCAAAACAAATTCGAGAGGTATTTTTTTTTATAGGATTAAGAGGTAAAACAATATTGAAAATTAAGCTTGCGTCGTCATCCTCCTTCACTTGTCGCCGCCGTCACCAACTTGCCAGAAACATGATCCGTCGCCATGTGAAGGTCTGTAACTTGCAAACAAACAACACCCGATTCAATATCAGCCAGCTTTTCCTTTTCTTTCTTCCTTTTGGTTTATTTCCCTTCAGCTTCCCTTTTAATCTCTTTTTATTTATTTATTTTTCTAAAATGGCTGATATGGAAATCACATCAGCGCCTCTCTTTTCGGAAAACAATAAAAAATATGCCACATCGTAATTTTTCGTTACTCAAATTGACAAAGTTAACTGACTTTCTCGATTGCAGTTTGCCGACAAATTTTGGACGTTTTGGTGCACTTTTCGTTTAAAAACGTGACATGCCAAATTTTTTATCAGGAAAAAACATTGAACACACTCAATCTCACTATTTTAAAGATTATTAGGATTGAAATGTGCAATAAAGAAGTTGGATACCAAAATGTACCTCGAATGACAATTTTAGAACTTCGACTGTTATTTTTCCATTTAGAAAGACTTAGCCCGTCCCAATCTCGATAGTACTATCTCTTTTTGCTAATTTCCAATCTACTCGATGATAAGTTTCGAGTTTCATGTACTTGGATGCATGATGAGATGTTTAAATATCTCATCATAAATCTTCATATTACTCAATAAAGTTGCTATAACAGAAAAGTTTGAATACTCCCATCTAGCTGTATTTTATAGACAAAAGAACCAAAGTAATCAAGGATGATGGCAACTTTTTACTTCTCCTTGGCCCAAACCAAAAAACAATATATCAATGCCCATAAAAAAAGAATGGCTCATCTACGAGTAGGACCCTCCAAATTCACTGCTCGCTACCGATCTCTTGGCTTTTTCTCTTCCCTCTTCCATTACATCTTTTGAAGATATTAAACATGATGAATCCTATGATTGGCGCTCATGCGTCCTCAAATCCGAAGCCACGCACACAATTTGCAATGGAGAGTTCAAATTGTAGAACATGAAGAGATGGTGAACAGAAAAAAGAGGGAGAGATAAGAGAAGTGATTAGAGTGGTGGGACAGGAGGATCTCGTTGTCATCATTAAAACTGGATGCTACATGCCCTTCGGACACCCTACGAGCCCTGTTCATATTCCACTGAGTGAACAAAAGACATCCTCAGGTTCTAAGGTTGGTCTCAAACGTGGACCCCAACATTGACCCGGTTTAGTTCGATAGATCCCCACTTGCCTTTATTCGTGGGCTTGCACACATGTTTTTGTCACCCCGTGGTGAGTGATGAAGCATTCCATAAATTTTGGGGGGAAAATGTGGGGATAGAGATAGAAAAAGAATTTTAATTTTAGGGTAAGTTTTGTTTCGAAAAACTTTACCATTGGAAGATGCTTTCCCTCATTTTTCGATGTTTGGATTATTTTTGGATTATTAAAGAAAGAGTAAACGAAAATTTGTTTCATAGTCAATGGAGAAATTGTAATTAAACTCGGGAATATGTTTCGGGGAAGTTTATTTACCATGAAACAAGCGGATTAGGTTACGTGTGATTCTCATTCTCTAACTTTTTAATACTCATGCAATTTGATTTTCTTAACTCTTTTTATATGGTGGAGTCTTGTAATCAAACCTTTTCTGTTTTTTAAGTTATGTATTGGTGCTGAGTGGTTGGGCAATGACCCAACCCCCTTGGGATTCCTCTCCGGGCATTCATAGTGGACCCCTAGACAGATGCCGGACCATAAATGTACAAACCATCTGAAGTTCTCAAAATTGTTT